CTGGTTCAAAATAAGGCGGGAACCAATCAGGTGGAAGCTGCATCCGGGTTGGCCTGTTTGTAGCTTCTTCCTGTTCAATCTTTTACCCGCCTGACTGGCACCGTTTTCCCGCCTGCCACCAAGCACATGGAACCGGTGTGGGGTGGGAAGCGGCACCTCAGCCTAATGGGGGATGAGATGCCGAGTAAGAAGATGGAGTGCGAGGATGTGCCTTAGTGAGAGTTTCCACGGGAGAGTGTCACAGAGTCCCTGCACCAGGCTAAGGCTTAAGGGAGTGGATAAAGCGTTTGATACAGTGAGAATAGGGCAGGGACTTGGATGCTGCTTTCTTGGTGGCATCTGAGAAGGCAATGTTAGGTCACAAGAAGAGGGGCCTGCCACATTCCTCCCCCTCCAAGGATACAGTAGCCCCAAAGTTGTCCCTTTTGCTAGAATAGTAGCCTGGCCACTGGAGAACCCCATATCAACCCTGACATCCCTGGTTTTCTCAATGGACATATCCCTTTATATTACCCTTAGTATCTCATCCACTCCTTTCCAAAGGAAGATAAATGGGCAGTGGGGTTTGAGAGGCCTCCTAACCTACATGACATCGGGCATGTCTCCCTGAGCCTCCATTTTCTTACCTGTAAATTGGGGGCCATGATAATACTCACTTCTCCAGATTACAGAAAAGATTAAATGAATTTACTTATGTAAACCACCCTGGACTTCATTCCCCACACCCATTACTCACCTTAATGATAAAGGGAGCCCCCACTCACCCCCACCTGGAAGACAAGTTTTCAGCAGACAGGTAGAGACACCGTGGCTGTAAATCTTTAAGGGAGCAAATTGCCAGGTCTTTTCTCCCTCAGAGAGACTGGTGGGTTCAAACCTCCGACCTTTTGGTTAGCAGCCAAGTGCTTAACTATTGTTCATCCTAAAACCAAAAAATCAAACTCACTGCCATCGAGTCAGAGCCAACTCATAGAGCCCCCTCCTTGAGTTTCTGAGGCATATCACTCCGGAAGTAGATTGCCCAACCTTTCTTCCAAGGAGTGGCTGGTGGGTTTGAAACATCAGCCTTCTGGTTAGCAGTCAAGTGCCTTAGGCAGTATGCCACCAGAAAGATGCCCTAAAATCTCCTGAGGTGACAATTTAAAATAAAGATTCCTATTACACACCCAAACCTACTGAATCAGAACCTCTGGGAGGTGAAGCTTGTATTTCCAACAAGTGCTCCTATCTGTCAGTGTGACATACTGTGGAGCCTTTTGTGTTGCTATAACGCTGGAAGCTATGTCACAGGTATTTCAAAAACCAGCAGGGTTACCCATGGTGGACAACTTTCAGCGGAGCTTCCAGACAGACAGACTAGCAATAAAGGCCTGACAAACTACTTCTAAAACTTAGCCCAACCCTACAGATCTCAACAGAATATTGTCTCATATCGAGCTGGAAGATGAGCCCCCTAGGCTGGAAGGCACACCCAGAGTGGCTGCAACAATGGACTCAGCATATCAACTATCCTGACAATTGGACAGGACTAATCCACCAGCCCCTCCTCGGAAGGAAGGTTGGGCAATCCTACTTCCGTAGTGATACTGCCTCGGAAACCCAAGGAGGGGTCGCTATTAGTCGGCAAATAACAACAGGCAACATTTCATTCTGTTGTATGTGGGAATGCCATGAGTCAGAGCTGACTCTGTGGCAACTAACAACAATTAACAACAAACCAGCACCTTCAGTGATTCTTGAGACTGTTGGGTTGAGAATCACTATTTTGACCAGGATGGAAAGAAAGGGAACCCGGGAGAGTCCACCTGGTCATCACAGGGACAGGCTGGGAAGGTCGGATTCCTCAAGAAGATGCACCTGTGGGAAACATTCAGATTTTTAGAACTATGGAGTCTGGCAGAGACTGAAGTTGTCATTTATAAGCAAGTTGGCATAACCTCAGAGCTTCACTTCCCTCCACAGTAAAATGGGGATAACTGTTGCATTTCTCTCAAGGGGCACGGTGAACAGTCAGTGAGACTCCTTCAGAGTGTCTGGTGCAAAGGCACATCCATATTGAACATAGTCCCAATCATGCAGGCCCACAGTGGGTCCAGAGTGGAGCAAGAGATGCTCTCTGTTCTCAAGGGACTTTCTTTGAGGAAAAGAAGAGACGCTGCACACAATGGACTCTATAACGTGGCAGAAGTGAGAGAGGCTAAATGGTCACAGGGAACATCAAGCTCAACTGGCATAACATACTACACAAAAGCGTTGTTCTACATCCTACTCTAGTGAGCATCGATAGGGGTCTTTAATGCTTGAAAGCAGTCCTCTAGTTGCAACAGTTGGTCTCTCCTCATCTGGTGCAAAGAAGAGTGAAGAAAATCAAAGATGCACAGAAACAATTAATCCAAGGGACTCATGGACCATGTAAACCTCAGCCTACATGACCCTGAGACCAGAACTAGATGGTGCTCAGCTACCACTGTCAACCACTCAGAAAGGGATCAGTACAAGAGGTTCTGGATAGAGTGGGAGAACAATGTGCAAATCATTTTTTAAAAAAACAGTCTTACTGGTCTGATAGAGCCTGGTGAAACTCCCAAGACCATGGCCTGTAGTTAGCCTTCAGGCCTGGAATTGAATTCACTCCCATGGCTTCCAATCAAACAACAGACAGGCAGATAGGGTGAATATTTACACCAGGTAGACACCTTCCTTAGAACGATTAATTATGGGAGAACAGAAGGGCAGTTGCACAGGGAGATAGCTCAGGGGGCAGGAATGCATAGGAAAGAAGGACACAAGGAAAAGGTAACTATAAGGAGGAAGTGGGAAGAGAGCTGTTACATTGTGGGGATCGCAGTCAATGTCATGAAACAAAATAGGTATGAACTGCTGTATGGAAAATGAAATTGTTCTGTAAACTTTCACCCAAATCACAATTTAAAAAAAAAAAGAAAAAAAAAATGAGAGAGGCTGAAAAAGAGCACAGAATAGAGACCCAGGGCAGGGGGTGAGGGGGTGGGGAGAGCTCCAGGTCAGAGTGCCACTGGGGAAAGTTGCATGAAATACACAACATTTGACCCAACTCTGAAGAGCTAGGAGGATATCAACCAGCCAAGGCCTTGCCAGCCAAGAAGTCAGCAAAACGAGGCATGTTAGGCAATAATCATATGGCTTTAGGAGGGTAAACCAAGGCCAAAACATAGAGGGCTGTGAACACCACATAAGGAGTCAAGATTTTCTCTCTGAATCAAAGCCTTCAGAGCCAAATTCCTCCTGTGTGTGTGTGTTACATCTGGCCCACAGAGTAATTTTCGTTTTTATTCTTTAATTAGATTTGTAACCTTTGAAAACTGAGAGTGATGATGTCACTTCCTGGCATCTAAACTTCTCTGGAACAACAGTGCTGGCCAGCCAGGCCGGCCACCATTGGCTGCATGTGGCCCAGTGTTTCAGTATTGCAAGCCTAGCCTCGGCAGGCAGTGTGAGTTTGAGACCCCTGTGCCGGCCTTTGGAGACCCTTCGAGGACCTTATAGGACAGACTACCTGTCTGTCTGTTGTGCTGTAGAGGCTGGGTTGTGCATTGCTAGGATGATGCAATTTATGTCATTGGTATTTCCAATACCAGCCAGGGTCATCCATGGTAGACAGGCTTCAGCAGAGCTTCTCAACTAAGACAGACTAAGAAGAAGGGGCTGGCGATCTACTTCAATCAGCCAATGAAAGCCCTATGGATCACAACAGAATATTGTCCCATATAGAGCTGGAAGATGAGCCCTGTAGGTTGGAAGGCACTCAAAATGCACAGTGACCAACAATGGAGCACACAAACCATCGTGAAGATGGCACAGACTACACATAGTGTTGCCATGATTCAGAGCTTCTAACGACGACAGAGGATTTTGGTCAGGGGAGGGGCAGAAGCAGGTCTGTGCTTCAGAAGTCCTGCTGCTCCTGCTGACCATGAGCCATGAGGCTGCTGGTGATAAGGAAGGAGAGGAGGGGAGAAAGGGAAGAAGCTAATAGTTACGGAGCTTCTACAACTCGGAGGCTCTGTCCTAAGTGCTTTGCCCACATTAACCCATTTTGTTCTCACCAGAACCCTATAAAGCGGGTTAGCTCTCATCCTCCATTGTTCAGATGAGAAAACTGAGGCACAGAGAGGTGAAGTCATTCATCTAAAGTCACACAGCTGACAAGTGGTAGAGAAAGGTGATTTGGCTCCAGAATTCACAGTACTCGCCATAGGAGGTTGTCTGGTTTTGAGCGAGAGGAGAACTCCGATCAATGTGCTTCCCGAATTCCTTCTCAGGAAATTGGTTTCTCTTAGTAAACTTGTCAGGCACAGAGGAGGGCAGAGGCACTCAAGAGCTCAGTCAGGTGGTTTGGCTGCAGTCCTGCCCCAGCTACCCCCCTGCTGCATTCCCTGCTGGACCAGAGAAACGCTGGCCCCATCGTGGGGACCAGCAGACCCCAGAGGGACATAAACACACAGGAAGGATCCTAGGCCACTGTGGCTTCACCTGCCCCATGACCAACCACACCCAACCCTTCCTAGCCCGGTGAATGGGTAAAAGAGAAAAAAAAAAAAAATGCACACACACGAACAATAACCAACCCTGTGCGTTTCCTGGCATCGGATGACTATTTGGTTAAGAGCTTCCTCCCTCTTCGTGAACCTGCTGGACACTCCTAAAGTCCCCAGCTGCTGCTGCTGGCCAAGTGGGTTCAGTCGGCTGATCACAAGCTTAACCCTGGGGCAGAAACCCACACCCCCAGGCGAAACAGTGAAGGACCCAAGAGAGAAGCCAGCCACTGAGGACGGACAGCCCTGGCCCAGTGGCCTCCCACAGCCAGCTCAGAGTCACCTTTGCTCCAGCTCCTCAGCCAGCCCAGAAACCCCTCCCCTGCTCAGCTCAGCAGGAACCGGGAGGCAGGAACCAAGAGCCACTGATTGGGCAATCATTAATTGGATTCTTTACATTCCTGGGCCCTAGGCAGCCTGAAAGGCATGCTCCCTCAAGGAGCTGAGGCCTGGGACCGGTCCTTGGACATGCAGCTGACCGGCAAGGTGGTGCTGTCCGCCGCTGCCCTGCTCCTAGTGACCGCTGCCTACCAACTGTACAAGTCGAGGCCTGCCCGGGCCCCACTTGGGGGTGGACACGCCAAGTCTGAAGACGAAGAGGAAGCGGAGGGCCCAGGGCTGCCCACTGGGGTGCTACAGAAGGGGCTGCGATGCCGGAGGGCCAGCAAGGGGACCAGAGCCCCTCTGGGCTGCAGCAGGGAGAAGCCAGGGGGTTCTTGTGTCCCAGCAACTGCAGTCACTTCCAAAGACGGGGAGCCCAAGAGGAGAGACACCAGTGAGGAAGGGGACGGGCAGTGCCCAGACTCTGAACAGCTGCCTCCTCCCTGCAGGGGCCAGGAAGCCGGAGCAGCTCTTGGCGGTAAGCCTGATCCTCTCCTCAACCCCCACTTGGGCAATAAACGCAAAAACTTTCCAAGTGGACCTGCTGCAGGGGACGGCAGCCTTACAGGCAGTGAGCTTGCCCCATGGCAGGACTGCGGACCCACCAAGGAGCCAGTGGCAAGGGAGCAGACCTCCCTGTGTCAACACTGGCTGGCCCACACAGAAGGCAGCAGTGACATGGACAAGAGCTGGGTCTTTACCCGCGTGTCAGGGGTCCACAGGGAAGAGGCTGGCACTATCCAGGCTGCCTCAGACCTCGGTCTGGCTCTACATCAACAGGAGGGGGCCAGTAACGCTTGCTACACCTTCTCGTCCATGGCTCGGGTTCAAGTGGAGGAGAACTTTATAGAGAAGGTGGTGGAGAGCAGGCCCAGGCTGAAGGGCAAGGTGTACGAGTACTATGTCGAGTCCATCTCTCAGGCCACCTCTAGAGGCAGACCGGACCCCAAGACAGTAGCCCTGGCTGGGGCTCTATCCTCTGTGCCAGGCCCCCTGGAGACCAGGACATCGTCCAGGGGTCATGCTGATGACATAGAAGGTGGAGCAGAAGCAGTCACCCCCTGTCAGACCCAGCCGCCCGCCACCACACCCGGCTTCAGCAGGAAGGAGAGCCTCCTCCAGATTGTGGAGAACCCAGAGCTTCAGCTGCACCTCAGCAACTTTGGGGTCCCAGCTTTCCCTGGCCCAGACCATGGTGCCTCACCCAACTGCTCCCTATCCCTGGACTTCAGCTCAGCTGGAAGCCCTATGGAGCCCCGCGTGCAGCTCGTGGCCAGGACCAATTTCTTCCACTTCCCACTCAGCCCCGACTCAGCCCGAGATATCCACCTGGACCTGGGCAATTGCTATGAGGTGCTGACCTTGGCCAAGAGGCAGAACCTAGAGGTGCTGAAGGAGGCGGCCTACAAGGTGATGAGCGACAACTACCTGCAAGTCCTGCGCAGCCCAGACATCTACGACGGCTTGACGGGGGCCGAGCGCGAGCTGATCCTGCAGCGCAGGCTGCGGGGCCGCCAGTACCTTGTGGTGGTCGATGTCTGTCCGCAGGAGGACTCTGGCCGCCTCTGTTGCTATGATGATGAGCTAGATACCTGGCACCCATTGGCCCTCCTGCCCCCGGAGACCATGTCCCGAGGCTGTGCCATCTGCAGTCTCTTCAATTATCTCTTCGTGGTGTCTGGCTGCCAGAGGTCTGGGCGCCAGCCCTCCAACCGTGTCTTCTGCTACAACCCACTGACAGGAATCTGGAGCGAGGTGTGTCGGCTGAGCCAGGCCCGGCCCAACTGTCAGCTGGTGGCCCTGGATGGGTACCTGTATGCCATCGGGGGCGAGTGTCTGAACACAGTGGAGCGCTACGACCCCCGCCTGGACCGCTGGGACTTTGTGCCGCCGCTCCCCAATGACACGTTTGCCCTGGCACACACGGCCACAGCCTGCGCAGGGGAGATCTTTGTCACAGGTGGCACACTGCGCTACCTGCTGCTTCGCTTCTCTGCCCAGGAGCAGCGCTGGTGGGTTGGCCCCACGGGGGGTGGCAGGGAACGCACCGTCGAGATGGTAGCAGTCAATGGCTTCCTCTACCGCTTTGACCTCAACCGCAGCCTGGGCATTGGGGTGTACCGCTGCAGCGCCAGCACCCGGCTCTGGTATGAGTGTGCCACGTACCGGACGCCCTACCCAGATGCCTTCCAGTGCGCCGTAGTGGACAACCTCATCTACTGCGTGGGGCGCCAGCGCACTTTCTGCTTCCTGGCAGACCACATCTCTCCCAGGTTTGTGCCTAAGGAGCTGCAGAGCTTCCCTTCCCCACGGGGCACCCTGCTGCCCACCGTCCTGACCCTACCTGCTCCCAGTGTGCCCCAGACCAGGGTCTAGTGGCCCCTCTGCTCTGCTCTGCTCCTTGTGCAAAACTGGGAGGCCAAGGGCACCACCCTGCCCATTGCTCTGTGGGCCATTTCTGGGAGATCAGGCAGCCCAAGAATTGGTCAGCAAGACATGCATTCTAATCCCACCTCCTCCAATGAGCTGTGAAGTCTTAGATAAGTCCTTACCCTCAGTGACTGCAGAGACCCAGTGAGAAAGAACAAAGCCTGTGAATGACATTCCTAGACAGAGGGCATCATGTCTGCTTGGGTGAGCACCACCTTGCTTCTAATCTAAATTCTTGGGGGGAAGGGTATACCAGGACCACCAAAGTTTATGGGCACAGCCTTATGGCAACCATGGTTCCAGTTGTTAACTGATACTCAGAGACCCTTCACGCTGACCCCTCTAAAGATAGTTTAGTTCTCTATAAGGCAGCAGGGCCACTTACTAAACATTGGTCCCTAGGCCCCTACCTCCACAGTTCCCAGAAGCACCAGGGACACACAGGTGGAGGACATGGAAGGAAACAGTTCTAGCAGGACCAGGCAGGAGCCCATGGGGGCAGCCAGAAAGGGAGGTGGCTTGAAAAGTTGAGCAGCTAAAGGTGAAGCTGCCCTCATGGGGTCCCTCTTTCTTGCAGAGTAAACTTTACCAAACCCACTTTACTTTTCTCATTAACTAGAATTCTAGTAATAGAATGAAGAGAAACATGTATTTTTACCAGCCATTTGAAATGGGACATCTTCTCATGGTGGTCTACTAAATACAGTTGATTCTATATAAGGGGTCTCAGCACAGGGAAGGAAAATATATGATCCAAGGGCCATCCTCTTCTTAGGCCCCTGTTCACAGACACATTGCTAATTGACCACCACACTTTTTCTTTGATCCCAAAGTCCTTCTCCACACAGCTCTCCTGTCTGGGAGCTGGAGGCAGCCCAGTCAGTCCTTTAGGGCTAGTGTGGAGATGATGTCATAACTTTCCCTCCCTGTGCTATGTGGTCACCTGCTTTGCCTCATCAGACAGGAGAGGATCAGAGAGGGGTTGGTCCATGATGGACCTAAGGAGCTAGAAGATTCCAGTGGAGCATCAAGATGCCAGGGTCTCATTTCACACCAGGTTTAGTAACTTCTGAAATGGAGGAGACATTCCAACTTCAGGCAGGTACTGTTCTTCCTGGAGGTGGGGGAAGTAGACTGGTCTAGTCTATACCATGGTCCTAGTTCTGTCTCCAAGGGAGGCACATATATAGATGTGAAAGCAGTGAACTCTCCAGAAGGCAGGGGAGCTGGGACTAATTCTGAAGTGATAAGAGCACAGAGGGAAGAAGAGAGGTGGGAGGCACCAGAGCAGAGCCTGGCAAGTGAGAAGAGGAGGACACTTAGGACTTTATTGTCCCTATCTTGAAAATGGGGAGAACAATTCCTGTCCTCCTCTGCCTTGGGAGTAAATGAGAGCATATGGAGTAAGTTCTTCCCAAATTCCAGGGTGGTCTCAGCAGGAGCTTGTGTTCACTGCAGCTGCTGGGCTGAGGCCAGGGGTCTTTTTGGAAGGTGCAGGATTGGGACACTAACACACTAACATCTTCTATAGGTTAGCGTGGCGATGAGAAAAGACCTTTATTGGACCACACAAGTCCACCCTCTCTGGCCTAGAGCCTTAGAAGAGGAGGCTGCCAAGCTAATTCCTAAGTTGCAGACTAGGAGGGGAAAGTCAACTGGTCTCTGGGGAGAGAGGTCTCCAGCCAAGGCCATCCTCAAGCTCAGTGTCAAGTATAGGCCAATGCTTCTAGTGGACACAATTTGGAGAGGTGATCTCTGTCCAGGGCGAGGTATGAGATTTCCTCCTGTTCATTCCACTTGGGCATATTGGTCTCCATGTTCTGGGAAGTGAGTGTGTGCACCCTCTTCCTCCTGCTGGGAAAGCAGCTCCATGCCAGGTGGACAATGGAGCCAAGTGTCCTGGCCTTGGAATACCCTGGGGCTTCCACAGGAAATGAAACAGCACAAGTCTATGGGCACCAGGTCCAAGGGTGTAGATAACAGGCACCAGCCTCAAAAGGGCCCACAGGGTGGGGACATGGCTTCAGGGGCATTGCTTCCAGGCACACATTGGCATTGTGACACCAGGTTGAGGAAGGTTTGCTTAGGAGGACAACTCAACATGGGAGCTAGAGGTAAGTGGGACCAGATCCAGCACCCAGATCCAATGGCCTCTGGTGAGGATCCAGCATGGGACAAGATCAGACCAAGCTGTGTAGAGTTCAGGCAAGGTTTCCAAGCTGAGAGAGGCCGAGAATCACAGAAGCCCATTGAATCCAAATAGTAGGGACCAGGGAAATGATTCCAGGGATAAGGCAGGTAAGTTTGTTTCAGATCCTAATTGCTAGTGGGTATGGTCTTCCTAGGGAGCTCTGTAGCATAGTGCCTAAGGCACTTGACTGCTAACCAGAAGGCTGGCGGTTCAAACCCACCAGCCACTCCTCGGAAGGAAGATGGAGCAATCTACTTTTGTAGTGATACTGCCTCAGAAACCCAAGGAGGGGTCGCTATGAGTTGGCACATAACAACAACAACATGGTCTTCCTAATGAGAGAAGGGAGCTGAGATTTGGGCCTGTGCTTAGCTGGGAAGTACACAGCAAATCTAATCTACCTCCCTTATGTTCCCATGCAGACATCACAAGTCTATCATCATATCTCTTCCTGTTGAGTTCTTAAAATGGCTGCAGAACTGTTTCAATACAGGGTCCCAGGCAGACACATTACCGACAGATTAGAGTTCCAGAGTATACATCATCCCTGGCCTGGGCCTCACGAGCTAGATTTAAGGAGGACAGTGGTCAGGGCCATCATGGTACAACAAGGTGACTCAGGGGGCCTAAAAAGAGCCCCTCTAGCCATGATGGTCAAGATTCATCCATTCACTCATGAAACAAACATTTATAGGACTTCCTATGGACCAGGCACTAAATGCAAAAACAAATAAATAAAACTTAAGGTGGATAAGCATGATGGAGAAAGATAAGGCATGGAAATATGATAGAGAGAAGGCCAGGAGGAAGAGGAGGAAGGCTGCTCTTTTAAATAACATGATCAGACTTCCCTCATAAGGTGACATTTAAGCAGAAACCTAAACAGAGACCTGTAAGATGCGCAGACCAGGACTGATTGAGGGGACAGGAAGGCTGGCCCTGTCTCTAAAAGGACTTTGTCACACGGGCCAGGAGGGCAGGACTGTCTCCAAAAAGCACAGTATTGGTGTGTGAAGGCGGGCAGCTGCCCCTGAATAAAGGGAGGCCTTTGGGCTTAGATAAGTCACATTTCCTATAGGAGCAGCAGAGTCTGCACATTTGGGGATGAGAATAAAAATAATCACCAGCACATCAGATGCCAGACTGCACTAGGTCAGCGGGCCTCAGCCTGCAGATAGCACTTCATGCGGTCAGAGGATAGGATATCCACTTGACCTTGTTTAATCGGCTGGGGCTTATGGACCTCCTACCCTTAGCCTCAGTGTAGCCTCTGTGTCACCTGGTTGCCCTATGAGTCTCCTGTCCTGTTTTCCCTTTAAGAGTTCTTTCTTCTTAGAAAAAAATTTAAAAAAATTATGCCAGCTAAGCCCATTATAGAAAAGAAAAAAAAAAAAAAAAATTGGAAAACAGAGAAAAGTATAACAAATCTTCCCAATTTTGTTACCCAAAGGCAACCCCTACTGTGGTGTGAGTCCCTCCAGCCTTTTTCTTCTACCCGTAGGTTTTGTTTGGCATGATTTTTGCCTAGGTGTGATTATGCTGAATATACAATTCAGCAGCTTCCTTTTTCACTTAGCATTTTAGAATAAGCATTTTCCCATGTTATTACAAACTCTGGGTAAACATAATTTCAATACTTGCACAATATTCCAGGGAGTAGATGTACCATAGTTTATTTAAACATGCCTCCCTCCTGTTGGGCCTGTAGATTCTTTTTTTTTTTTTTCCCCATTGGTTTCTTTTTCTATCATAAATAAAACGCCCTTTGTTTTCTCTTTGTGCTCTGTCTGGGGCCTCCATCAATATTTAACAAGAGAAGGTCTGTCTAGATCCTGTCTGGAATAGCAGGGTTGTTGAAACAACCACAGAAGTCACAGCATTTGCCTCAAGCTGCGGTCCAGGCCCCTCCTTGGCTGTAGGGCACAGCACTGCCCTTGAAAACGCCCAGAGAGAGAGAGAGGCCAGGCTAGCTGGAGGGAGTCAGTCCAGGTGCCCTTTCTTAAGGTATTGCAAGCACCAGGATGTGGGGCAGGAAGCTCTGGTAGCATAGTGCCTAAGGCACTCGACTGCTAACCAGAAGGCTGGTGGTTCAAACCAACCAGCCACTCCTCGGAAGGAAGGTTGGACAATTTACTTCCGTAGTGATACTGCCTCAGAAACCCAAGGAGGGGTCGCTATGACAGCATACAACAACAACAACAACTTTGCATAAACCAGGCACTGAACTAGATGCTTTATACTCATCACTCCAATGATCCTCACTACAATCCCTAGAGGTTAGCCATGTTGCCCCCATTTTACAGGTGAGAAAATTGAGGCTCAGATAATTTAAGCAAACTTGCCTTAATATCAAAGTTCAAGGAGCCCCAGTTTCCTCAAGTGTGCTTGAACCCACCCCACCCCCTCACCTCCAGTCTGGTGCTCTTTGCACTTCCCTATGAGGGGGTCACCATTAATCAGTACCAGTTTGGTCCGGTTTTGGTTTATGATCACTAGGCATCAATTGCTCCTAAGCTGCCCCTAACCCCATCTCCACCCACCTCAATCAATTATCTTTGAACTTTTGCAAAGCAAATTTTCTTAAATTCTCTGACCCTCAATATCCACATCTGAAAATGGGTTTGCCACTGCCAGCCTCCTGGAGATGTTGTGAGGATTAACAAGACAATGTGTGTATAGCACCCAGCCCAGAGACTGGTCCAAACTTAGTCTCAGAAGAACCATTGTCTTCTGCAGGAAGGCTGCTCTCAGCCAA